TGCAAAACTGAATCACTGTGTCGCAAAATGATGCATGTCTAAAAAATGTGTCCCCAACATGAAAAGTTTGGAAAGCTCTGCATTACAAATTAGTGGGTTCAGTGCGCAGCTCAGTATATTGGGATGGAATTTAATGGGTTCAACTCGGATCACAAGACTGTGGAACAGGCCTGAAGTTGTTCTACCTAGTTGAGGCAGCCAGAGGAGGGAGCTTTCCAACAATGTATAAATCATGCCAGATGAAAGATGGGGAGTTCTCTCCCTGTGCTCTCTAATTGGCATGTGCTCTTCCCACTCATGCATACAAATTATAAACTTTTATACAAGTGTATTTATTCATTATACTTTGCATATTCTAATACGATCTTCTACAAAAATTTGTATTTCAATACGTATATTAATTTAGAGGCAGGGCAGTATTGCTTTCCTCCCTTTATTTAGAGAATGTACTATTCCTACTGCTCTACACCTGTGGAGCTCCTAGACTAACTATTGGACGCTTTGCAGTCTGTGCATTGCAATCTTCACCAAGGTTAGAAAAACAGCATATTGGCAGGTGCTTCAAGTGCTCATAATTCTCAGTAACATCAACATGTGGGTCTGTTTAAGTCCACCTACCAAGCAGCCTAATGCTTGAAAACTGATGTGTTTTTTATTTCAAATGCTTGCCTGAACTTTTAAAAAGACGTGTTCATGGTTGCAATTTCAAATGCTACCTTAGCTTTGATTCCAGGAATTTGCATTAGGGTGGTCCATGTGAGAGCAAATGCCAAAAAGGAGTTTCCCTTGCTTATTCTGGCTATCTTCCTTCAGCCATCTGTCTGACTCTTTTAAAGGCGTTAAAACCTCTAGAGCTGCTTTCTGAAGGGCTTAAGTGTACTCAAAACTGACTGGGGCCTTTTAATGCCCAACATCATACAGCTAACTCAGGCTGAAGCTGCCTCCCTCCCTCAAAGCAACTCAAAACACCCCAGGCTACTTTCAGCTGACAGCAGCAAAGCTTCAGTACTATAGTCCCTACCAAGCAATTGCTTTGCTTTAAATAATAGTAAGAGAGGAAAAAGAAAACAATTTCATGAATTCATTGCTGCTAAGAATTTGGTTTTTCTCCTGTTTATTTTAAATTTGCTTTTTGCTTGTTTTGGTTTAATCATAGTAGTTCTCTTTATTAGCCAATTAAGCTCATCTGTTACAGTGTGGGATTAAAAAAAAAGTCACTACAGTAATTCCCTGGATAGTGTTGTGGATTCCTAAATTATTCCTATTTTGACATCGCTCCACTTTCCATGTTTCTTGTAATTGTAAATTATGTCACAACTCCTTCATGCACTGGGTCAGGCAAATAGTTCTATGTTTGAAGACAGCATGCTTGCTTCTTTTTCCCTGAGGGTTTTGCAGAGCTTGCATCTATTTCTGCTCTCATTTTGTCTTCTTGGAAACTACACTGTCATTAGCTAAATGAAAGTCCTCTGCAGTGTTTTCTTCAAGCAAGCCTCCTGGTTCTGAAGAAGGAAATAGGTACACTACTGTAATGCTTTATGGGCTTTTATATTTAGGTTTTGGTAGCCTCAACATGAAGTTGACTTATTCCAATTTGTGGTAGAAATCTTAAGATTCTTCAATGCATTTTTTTAAGAAAAAAAACCAAGTGCATGAAGAAGCAGCCTAGGAGTCCTAATTTACTGCATCAACAGTCTCTAAAGACCTTACCAGTAGGGTTGGGCAATGTATGAATACATCGCCCAACACTGGTTTGTAGACCATATCGTGAGAACAGTTTCAAAATAACTGAGCTGGCAAAGCACAGCCTTCAGTCGCAATGTTTAGCTGCTGATACATCACGATGTTGAAAACCAGATAACGCCCAGCCCTACTTACCAATCTCTGACTTCAAATTCTATCTGTGTTACTTGGCATAACTTCTGGATTGGTTTACTCAATTTCAACATGTCATAGAACCAACTCGTGTCAGCTCGTCACAGCAGTGTCTTGTGTGGCCCTTTAAAAAGTAAAGATTGTAGCATATGCTCTTGTAGAGTTCAGTTTATTAGATGAATTGTATTGCCTTAAGCAATTATATAAGAATTCTTCCTCAATGTCTGATGTACTGCCTTTTCTACACTACCATGATCCAGAGTTTTACATGGTAAAGAAGGTGCAAAGGGTGCTGCTCTAACCCAGAGAGACAAAGAAGTTGCCTTATACTGAATTAGACTACTGATCCACCCAATTTGGCAAATCAGCATATAGTTAACAATAGTATAGCGTAATCTATTGTTATGTCAAAATAATAGCCAGCACAATGTGTTCTTGCCCACTAGAGAGGGTATGATATTTGGGAGAAAAAGTTTATTTTATTTAACAAATGGAAGTTGGCATATCTATGTAATCCAGGAGGAATTATTAACTCAGTGTAGGAACTGTAACCCTTGGGCGACACCATGCCTGTTGTTTGACAGTGAAACAAGCTAAACATGAGCATCCATAAAGGATGACGACGACAATGGTGCTGCACTTAAGGCAATGCTTTTTCACTAGGTTAACAGGCTGTGCTGAGAGAGATGCTTGGCAATATAATTTATATGTTGACATTTAACAAATCAAAATAAAATCACAAGGACAGATAAAAAGGCAACAGCTCCTTCATGTACAGTGGCAAATACATTTGAGTCGCCTTACTCAGCTTTTGCATCTTTCACAACTGAACAACAAAAGAATTACTTGCTTTCTCTTTGTTATTTTCTGCAAAAAAAAACTGTGAAACAGAGCATAACTTGCTTCATGAATGCAGCAGATCCTTTCTTGAATACATCAAAAGGTCTACATTAACTGTGACTGCAGTAACTCAGTATGGTGCCATACAAACTCCAGATTTCTCCTGAATTTGGAAGACTGAATCCAGGACTGCTGTCGGAGCATATTTCAGCTAATTAGAGTTTGGGAACTGAACTCCTCTTGTGTGCATATGGGCACTTGGTGAATGCCCCTAAGGAAGGTAAGCAGGAACAGCATTTCTGGTTTTGTGCATTCATAAAGGTTTATTATTCTCTCCTTCTCTTTTTGTAGTCATCAGTAAACCAACTGATAATTTTGAGACGAAATAAAACTTTGGCACATGCATGATTTACAAAATTGTTTATTTATAAAGCTTATTGCCATTATTTTACAAGACAGGACTTCCACAACTACTGTGATTAATAAGTAACATGATTAGCTTCATTCATAGCAAAGTGATGTGACCAGCTTGTCACTATTATATTTCATGGTTAAGAGTTTTAATGATGTGCTCACAATATTGTGGCAATAAGTTACCCATAAAAAAGACCTTGAGAAAGACAGACATCTTTGTCACTTCAGTTTTCTTCAGATTATTTTATTAGTGAAAACATCCCCCAAGAGTCCATTTTGCATCTAGTCATTTTCCCCTGTGGCTGTGCTAAACATGATAAAAATGTCCACAATCTCAATATTAACAATTTAGATTAGTAATTACTTTTTTGCAGCAGATTTTAATTATCAGTTTGCTAAATGCAAAAGTAGTACAAAATACCTATTTAAATAAATCTGTCTCTGGTGATTTTCTGGCCTGGTTTGCATAATACCTCATGATAAATATTACAATAAAGTGTCTTCTGGCAGATAATAAGTTGGCGCCACAGACACTTACAGAAGTGAAGGGATATTGGAGTTTTTTCCTGCTTCATTGCCATTACCCTCTGGCAAAGAAAAGTATGGGGTAAAATGTTTGTCAGCTGATTGTTTTAGCAGTCACATAAATTGTTCCTTTGATGTCCAAGGTCAATGAAATCTTAGTACCACCAGCCTTTGCTAGAAGATACATTAAAAGTCTCTGATCTTTCCTGCAAGGGAAACAGTGGTAAAACTTATTACTCTGTCACAGTGAAGGAATGCTTGTAAAAAAGTTCAGTAATGTAGGGGATGGCTTTTCTTTACTATCCTTCTTGAAAGGGGGCATCTCTCTCAATCTCATTTTCCTTGTATGCATGAAGTGGGAGAGAATCGCAACAGATGTAATGGAGTAGAAACTGGAACTTGATATCCATGTGAATGTCACATGCTCTGTCATAAGGCTGACTGTAACTTGAGAAAACATCAGGTCCAGTATTCCACAGCATAGTATAAAAAGTCACACCACAGTATTATTCTGTGACCACCAGCACAGCTTCCTTGAAAATAGATATTAATTGGAAAGAAGAGCAACAACAAAACATTCTTCCCCTGTTCAGAAAATAGCAACTAGTAGGTTGAATGCCAGAATGAAGTACCCAGGATGCTTCCTCATTGAAGGAGTAATCCTAACTTGACGCAGCCTACACATACCTCACCCACCCACTGGCAAAGCTACTAGCTCCTTTTGCAAGAGCATGGCATGTAGTCCATGTAAGGATTTGTTTGTGATCCACATCAAAGTACTGGTCTGTTCTATCTTTGGTTTCAGACATGAAGTAAGAGTTAGGTTTTCACAGACGTCTGTGCATTTAGAAAAGAATCTTTTTTGCTTTAGGGCTCGACTCCTGTTCCTGCTGAACTGAGCCAGTATATAAAATCAGAACTGATATCAGCTCAGTAGGCACCGGAGGACGGGTCCATCGACAGCCAGGAACAGTATCTGCTGCAAGGGGACAGTTCCAATAAGAAACAGCCATTTAATATCAATATACACACTGGACTTTGCACCCATCGGGGCTGCTTTAAGAACGGCACACTCTTTTATAAAATACAATACTTTTTAGCATTAGGCTCTTCCACAGTTATTGATTACTTCTATACTGTAGCCAAGCAAGGGTGTTTTCTCACGTGGATTCTTTGCATTCTTGGCAGGAGGAAGGGTACAGGGTTTGCATCTTTCCCACGGCTTCTTCGCCTGTTACAATCTGCAAACTAGATTCCAGGCAAACATGTGCTATGATACTACTACAGCAGCAGTCAACATTTTAAGAGTTTTCCATCTCACCTTCTCTTCAGGTGCAGAACTTAGCCACTGTGAACAAAGAGGAAATCAGTCACTGTTCACCAATCAGCTAAGCTCTGCACCTCGCTAGAGAGGTCTTCATCTGAACATAGTTACAATAGCAGCTGAAGTCCTTCAGTGACTTGTCTGTACATTTTTAGGAGAAGTAGATTCAGGGGTTCCAACAGTGTGGATATGAGATTGCCATACCCACATGCAGTTACAGATGCCAATGTCATGGTTATGTGGTAATCCCTGGCAATGTGATTTTAATCTTAAGTCACAAATCAGCATGCCAGGAACCCAAACAACCAAAACGAAGGAAATGTGGGTGGCTTTTCTCTTTTCCATCAAGATAACTTGAAAAAGCTAATCTTTTCACTCATTTCGTTTACATGCTAGAATATTCGTTGGCTCACCATTTGGGCTACTCAAAACAAATCATACGTATCAGCTCTATAAAACAGTATAAAAAGTTCATAAAACAGTATGAAGAGTATTCTATTGCCAACAGAGTTAAGTGTTCTTAATATAAATTGTTATTTTTTTAATAAAAAAAATTAGGGTGGTGGATTGAATGAATTGCTCACCCAGCAGAAGAATAACCCATTTTAAATTTGAATTTCTGACTCTGTTCTAAAAAAATTAAGGTGAAACTGAACATGTTATCAAATCACTAAGCCACATTTTGCTAGTTCCTTATAATCTACATTAACCAGAAGCCAAGCTTGAATATATGTTTGCAAGCAAAGCCCACCAGTTTATTTGGTATATCTTTGTCCCCCCCACGTATGAAGAACAAGATTTTCCATATTCAACTTCATAACCAGAGCAGCCCTTTCTACAAAAAATAAAAATACACAAACACAATTAACACTTTTTATATCCTGGTGCATCCTTTCCTAAGCATTCATTTCTAGTGGAACAATTTTGTTACTGGTTGGTCTTTCAATACTACCTCGTTTAAAAGTTATGTGACTAATCCAAATTATTTGTGTCTTTTAAATTGTTAACCTCGTTAAATGAAAACCTAGGAATACTAGCCTGGAAAGGATCCTTCTACTAAACTTTAATTATTCTGTATAACATAACCCAAATAGAAAAGGAAATACTTCAGAGTAAATTATCCACTTACGACAGTATTAAAATAGTTGCTGTTTAATGCATTGTCCAACTGTATCACAGGCTGTCAAAATGCCCACCATAGGATGACAAAGACCAGTTCTATTTAGCATTACACAACATGCTGATCACATAAAAACTGAGGAAACGCCGATGATTTATAAATGGGTTCAGGCTGCTTCAAAAGCCATATATAAGAAATGGCCAACCCTCACCTGGTACTGCAAAAACTGGCCAGCAAAATGATGTTCAACTTGGTATAAAGTTGTTATCTTCCCTTGGCAATCCTGCCTCAAATGAGGCATTAAAAAGGTTCATGTTAAACCAATTAATTAAATACAATAAAAAGTTACCTATTTCTACCACAGATATATCCAAATATTACATGTATTTAGGAGTATTTTTATTTGCTGGGAGCTCCCATCAAAGATACCAGCAACTATGCAAGAATGTAAGCTATAACACTTGCCATTCTCACATGCTCCAAACGTATGTAAAAATTGTGCGGATTCTTTTCAGCCTCAAGAGTTCTATGTTTTGAACACAGTTTGTATATGATACACTATAACAATCTTAGCCAGAGTCCCAATTTCAAAATATCTGCTTGCTCATAGAAATACAGATACCATGGAGAAAGCTCTTCTTTCAAAAACTTACATTGAAACATTCTTGGCCATCTTTTATGATTTTACCCTATTATTATCCTACTTTTTAACACAGCTCCCTCTCTGGATAGCTTTCTTTACTTTGAGGATTTTAAGAGATTTTAGGTTTTGATAAATAAACTTACTCATTCATAAACTATTTTCTTCCCCTGAGAAATGAACTATCTGGGAAAGAAAAACCACCTCATCAAAACAACATCTCTGCCACTACTTTAGCGGAGGACGCATCCATTTGGTCACGGGTTGTGGCAAAACTTTTACGTGCAATTTCTTGTTGTTTTGCATCCTCATTCACCATTAACTCTCCATATAGGTAGACACCCATTGCCTGAAAGAGGAAGAAAACAATAATCCTATAATATAATCAATTCCAGTGTGGTGCTTTTCAAGATAACAGCAGCTGTACCAAACTTACAATTTAAACATGCACAAGCTTTCCTTCCTAAGAACTTTCAGGGTTATTTGTAAGACTTTTTAAAAAGCATAACACAACTGGAAACCCACAAAGTTGTTTCCTACTATGGTCTACTCAAAGTAGATCCACTGTAAGTAATAGTTCTATGTTAGCCATGCCCAGTAATGTCAATTGGTCTATTCATAATATTATTAATATTCTATATAATATTTTATAACAATTTTTTTTGTAGTTGAGGTTGAAAAGTAAAAATCTTTATAGCCAAGTGAGCTTCACTGGAATAAAACTGAGTCTTCTACTGAAATATTTTTACAGAACCTTTCTGCACCCAGAAAGTAATTCTGTACTATCCTGAAAATATAAGATTGTGCCTGCTGCAACCATGGGGAATTTTAAAAATAATCTGGATGATTGCAGCAGCAAGCAAGCAAGCAATTTATTATGGATATAGACCAATATCTATTTCCATTTTCTAGAACTTGCAGAGTTGGTTCTAGAAGTGGGAGGCATATAGCTAAGAAGTCACGTTTTGCAAAACTTGGGTAGCCATATTGTTAACTAAAATTTCACTTTTCCTCATGCAGTTGTGCATTTAATACATATGAATATGTTATTTCATTTTTTCAAAACTTCAACGACTTTATAAGTTTCAGTCGCTGGCTTTGGGCCAGAATCTAGTTAAAAGACAGAAAACAGAGGGTAAAAATAAATGATTTTTGCAATGAAGAGGTATAAGCAGTTGGGTTTATGAAGGAGCTGTTACTAAAATCAGTGCGATTTTAACTTTAAAAAATGATCTGAAAAGAGATTAACGGATAGTCAAATTAGCATGTGATTCTAGATTATTTATGATGGCAAATCCTCAAACTGAGTAGTTGCAACAGCATATATCCAAATTGAGTGATTAGGCAACAGAATGGTCACGGAAACGTAATAAAAACCCTAGCTCCATATGCATTTGGATGGGATCTAAACTGGTTTGAACCATACAAACACATACAAACCTAGACTCATGATTTGCCTGCCCTACACAAACCACAAGCTGTAGTCAAGTTTCACCACAGTCTATGATACTAGTCACTAGTGGAGGGCTGGGGAATCTGTGGTCCTCCCATTGTAGCTGGACTCCAGCAACCATCATCTCTAACCACTGATTGTATTGGTACTGGCTGATGGGGGTTGGAGCCCAACAGCTGCAAGACCATAGATCCACCCCTGCAGTGATGAAGGAAGTATGAGACAAATTAATAGTTTATAGCTCTAACTCAATTACTGGAACCTCCATGTATCAAACAACATGCTAGGAACAATCCAGAGTGGGGGACTAGCTTCATGATTTCCTAAAATATTGCTTCCCAGGGGCACCTGGCTAGCCACTGTTGTCTTAGATGGCCTCCTGGTTTGACCTAACAAGGTGATTCTTGTGTTCTTACTATGAAAATTGCACTAGTTTCAGTACAATAGTTAACAGTTACTCTGCAAACTGCAATAGAATAATAGGCATAAAACATTTTTGGGACATCTCTCTTACAAATACTAACCGACTAGTATGTATTTAACATCTAGGGGAAACAGTGTTGGTTAATGCTGTTTTGCTAGAAAAAGAGGTGTTGGAACTCACCATGAACACCTCCCTTGTTCTCTTAGAATGGAAATGGCGCCCACCTGAGAGGTGCCAGAACTGAGTTCTGGTGAGTTCCGGCTGGAAAAAAATCCCTTCTGTTGGCAAGATTCCACCAACCTACCATTTACTGCCAAATTGGAAAGTAAAACCGACACTGAGAGTTCTCATTCTGATTGACTATTCCATGAGCCATAACTCAAACATCCAAATTTAGTAAACACTGCTGGTTCTGTTACTCTAAATGTTAATGGTTGCATTTGCATTTTCTTCAGACTTCTGAAACAACCAAGTCCCCTTTCACTACTGGAAAACACATAAGACTTCAGTTTCATGCATTATCATTCCATAGATTGCACAAGTTCTTGGAGATGATTGAAATAAAGGACCGATAGTGATCTGTAGCTTTAGTGTCAGGAATTCTACTCCTCAAACAGCACACAAATGTAAATATACAGTATAAGTGTTCTGAAGTGGGAAATCTGGAAAACTGCAGAGGCTACTTCTATGAAAAGCACAATGCATTTCCACCCACCTTTCACGGAAGTACTGTATTTTTTGCTCTATAAGACTCACTTTTTCCCTCCTAAAAAGTAAGGGGAAATATGTGTGCATCTTATGGAGCGAATGCAGGCTGCACAGCTATTCCAGAAGCCAGAACACCAAGAGGGATTGCTACTTTCACTGTGCAGCGATCCCTCTTGCTATTCTGGCTTCTTAGATTCAGAATATTTTTTTTCTTGTTTTCCTCCTCCAAAAACTAGGTGCGTCTTGTGGTCTGCTGCGTCTTATAGAGCGAAAAATACGGTAGTTGCTACACTCCAGACGTTAGTTTATACATAGAAAAACAAAATCATAACAACACTATGCTTACTTGAGACATAATTATTTTTCCAATTGGCGTGAATATTGCATCTTTTAAAAAATCTGAAATACGGTTTTAATATAATTAATCTATGCTAAAATTTTGTCATGTGCCCTTATTTAAGGTCTGGACATGCAGGCAGGGGAACAAACCAAGCAACTAAAATAACTTGGATGATACTTTATCCCATGGGCTCAGGGCAATATTGTTACAAGCTAGTGGATTCTGCAGCGTTCAGGAGCCCAGCAATGTCCAACTACTATTGAACTGAGCTGCTCTGATGTTAGGGGCTGAACTCGTCTGGCTGGCCACTGCTGAAGTCTGAAAGAAGAAATGGGGCAGGCAAAACATCTTGGAAAACAACAGCTTAAAGAACGAGGAAGAAAGTTAGCCCAAACTGGTCC